CTCGTGCCTGGCGCCTTTGAGGAGCGAGGAGGCTGGTGTGGGGCAGAGCGAGGGAGAGGCGCGGGAGGCGGCGAGGTCAGGAGTGAGGGAGAGGCAGCAGAAAGGGCACTGGGCCCCCGAGTGCCACCCTGAGGGTCTCTGGATCCTGGGGGAGCCCTGGCCAGCATGCCGCAGCCCCTCCATGGGCGGGCGCCCGTGCCTGGAGAGCTGCACAGCCGGCTGCACGCGCAGCCTCTCCCGGGCGGGCGGGCGGGCGGGCCGCGCGGTGCCGCGGTGCCCGCGGAGGCGTCTGCACGCAGGCCGGGTGCTCCTCGGCCCTGGGAGTGGCAGCTGGAGGTCGGAGCAGCCACAGCTCGACTCGCCCGCGCCTCTGGAATACCAATGGGGACGCGGCGATGGCTGGCCAGGAGGAGAGGCTCCGGAACCTCCTGCCTGCGTGGGGTGTGACGTCCTCCCAGGAGCGGCCTGAGCCCCGACACTCCTTCCCGCCACGCCCAGAGAGGCCCTCTTGTTCCCACCCTCGGGGCCCAGGCCTGGATGCGCCCAGGCCTGCTGGACACACCCAGGGTGACCCCATGGAGGGACCCTCCTGCCACATGCACTAGAGGAGGCGCCGCTCAGTGGCTGGGGCTACCCTCTGCGGGAGTCAAATCCTGCCCCTGCTCCTTTCCAGCTGTGTGGCCTCAGGAGAGCTACTTAACCTCTCTGAGCCTCAGTCTGGCCATGTGTACAGTGGAGCTGTCATGAGAGCGAAATGAGGTCATGGGTATTGACCCGGGCCACAGGAGGGCTCCACCACTGCTACCTGCTAATATCACCCACTCTCCAGCTGCTCACACAGGAGCCCTGGGCTCTGACGCTCGACACTTTCATGTGACCTTAGCCAAGCCCCTAACATCCCGAGCTTTGGTTTTCCTCATCTGCGAGATGGGAGCACTAGTGCAGGTAAACTGAGGCTCACAATAGCGCCCCACAGGTATGGAAAGGCTAAGGGGATATAAAAGGTTATGCTCCAGATCCCAAACCCTAGGAGTGCCAGGATGGGGGCAAGAGGCGCCAGGGGGCACTGCCACATCTACACCCACATTTGTGCCGCCCCCTCGCCGCCGCCTGTCTCTCCCCATCCTCAGGAGACTCCCTCGCGTGATCTCCAGAGCCCAGGCCAGACCTGCTCTGCATGCCTAATCCTGGCCTGCTCCTGCCGCTCAGGAGACGGAAGGGCAGCCTCCTTGCCTTCCCTGGGGCAGCTGCAGCCCTGGCGCTGCCGAAGACCCACATGCGCACACGCACGCACATGTGCACACACATGTGTCCTGCCCTGACCACCTCGAACTCACCTGCTGCCCTCTCACCACCATACCAGCTGTCCTGGAAGAACCAGGCTGGCCTGGACTCCTGTGGTTTTGTCCCTAGCCCTGTCCCTGGACATGCCTGCAGCCTGCTTAGGGCACAGCATGGCCCTTGGGTCTTCCAGTGCTCCCTGGGACTCCCCAGGACTGGCCGGGGACCAGAGAGGGCTGGCACGCTGAGTAGCAACCCTCCAATGTGCACTCCTGAGCGCCCACCTCCATGTGCTAGGAGCACATTTCACTCTGACAACATCCAATTTTATCCCGTTTCACAGATGAGAAAACTGAGCCCAGAATGGCTGCATGACTTTCCCAGACCAGGTAGCCAGGAAGTGGCCAAGCTAGAGCCCATGTCAGGCTAAGCCTGACCTCTCAGCCACACACTGCTGCTTCTGCAACGCAAGCTGGAGGAGACGGAGTGTGCGGGCTAGAGCACCTGGGCTGACAGCCCTGGCTCCAAATCCTGCTCCGACACCTCACTGTGTCACCCTGGGCAAGCCACCCTGCTTTTCTGAGTCTCAGTTCTCCTGTCTGCAAAATGGGACAAAAACACCTGGCCCACAGAGCTGTCACCATGATCCATGATAGCCACGGGGGTGTCTGACACCGGCAGGGCTCAGCCCAGGCCACAGGACTGCCCCAGGCATGAGTGGGGGGGGGTAGGAAACGCCGATGGCCCGGTGGGCGATGGACCATCTCAAGTACATGCGGGGGCTCCCCGCCCACAGGACACAGCTAGGTCGCCATCCCAGCTCCTCCACGTTCTGGCTGTGTGGCCTTGGGAAAGTGACCTACCCTCTCTGGCCTCTGTTTCCTTATTTATAAAATGGGCAAAATTATGCTCCTCTGAAGGACCCGAGCCCAGCACACAGTGGGCACTCAGGACTCGCTCCCCACAGCTCGGAGATGCAGGAGATGCACGCCCAGCCCGGCGAGTGTGGCCTCCCCGCCACCCCTCCCTGGCGCTCCTCTGAGCAACTCACAGATGATTTATACTTCAGAGGACGAATCAATACAATATATGGCCAAAGACATCTTTAATCTTTCGCAGGGATTAGGCTACAAGGTACAGGGGCCTCTTTCCACCGGCTGCTCAATTCCGATTTCAATTTGGCCATCTGGAGTGCGGCTCGCTCCCGCCTTCTCTTTCCACCCTAAAGACACTCCTCCAAATCAAATCTCATTCAGCGGGACAACTAGCAGCCAGGCCCCGGGCGGGCTCAGCCAGGCCCCGGGGGCTATTGCACCCAGCCTGGGTGGCAGCAGGAGGGTCTGGGGACGCGGCCGGCCCAGCCGAGTGGGAAGCCAGGCCGTGGGCCACATGGGGTGGCATGGGGGGTGGCAGGCACCGACAGACGCCTGCAAGCACAGGACTGCCAGAGCTGCAGGCCCTGGCATAGCGGCGCGTTCTCTTATTTTTCTAGACTCGGAGGTCCTTTTAAAAAATCTTAAGTAGATTTTATTCTTTCTAACGACCCAACACCCAATCAGCAGTTTATAGAAATGTCATGGCCGGGCGCGGTGGCTCACGCCTGTAATCCTAGCTCTCTGGGAGGCCAAGGCGGGCGGATCGTTTGAGTTCAGGAGTTGGAAACCAACCTGAGCAAGAGCGAGACCCCCGTCTCTACTATAAATAGAAAGAAATTAATTGGCCAACTAATATATATACAAAAAAATTAGCCGGGCATGGTGGTGCATGCCTGTAGTCCCAGCTACTTGGGAGGCTGAGGCAGGAGGATCGCTTGAGCCCTGGAGTTTGAGGTTGCTGTGAGCTAGGCTGACGCCACAGCACTCACTCTAGCCTGGGCAACAAAGCGAGACTCTGTTTAAAAAAAAAAAAAATGTCAAACAATGGTCTTACCTTCAGCCAAGACACAATGCCCTGACCTTATCCCATGCCTCTCCTGTCCCTCCAGGCTTTGCGTGTGTCCTGTCATACCAGCACTTCCACAGGGGGTGGCCCGCATGGGTCTCAGCAAGGGGGCAGAAGGTAGAGTGGGCAAGAACACAAAAACAGTTGCCACCTCCAGCCCCGCGGGCCTGCCTGGGCTCGAATCCCTTCTCCACCTCTAACTTGCCCTGTGACCTGGTGCCCGAGCTGCTTCTGCAGAGCGGGCCGAGCAGTGCCTGCCGCAGAGGGCAGGACAGCCGGCGCGAGTGGGGTGGCTCCTGGGTCCCGAGGGCAGGGACCTCGCACAGTGGAGCTCTAAGACTCTGGGCCCTCGGTCCCTCCCCCATCCTGTACCTTCATCCCCACATCCTGCAGAGCCCATACCTTAAACAGAAAGGCAGCACGCTTATTTGCTTATTTGGGGAAGGGCTGAAGCCATAGTAGAGGAGAGGACAAGAACCGGGAGAACAGGGAGGGGCGCAGCCCGGAGGGAGATGCCTGCATCTCGCAAAGGAAGAAAGGACGCAGGGCAGCCAGAGGGCAGGGCTGTGGCTCCCCAGGGTGCCGTTGCCAGCCTGCCTGGAGGCAGGAGTGGGCTCCTGTTGCCCTGCTTCCCCCTCTGGCCTGGCTGCTGGGGCGGGAGCGGCCCGGAGCCATCAGCCAGCGCTGCCCCACTTCCCGCCACGCCACCCCCTCTGTGGGGTTGCAGGCACCCAAGCAGCTTCAGCTGTACAATTAAAGGGGCTTATCCGAGATTTATAGCAGGATTATGCCCGCAGGGTGTTACCAACGCCAGCCTCTGGACACTGTGCCGTCCTTAGGAAAAGCAATTAGAGCCCTGGGGCCACGAGGGTATAAATATACAGGCGCCGTCACCCAAGGTCGCGGGCACCCCGTGAGCTGCTTAGAGACAGGGCCCTGGGAGAGCCCAGGCGGGGCAGAGGGGCCCTGTCTGCAGGGAGGTGGGAGACGAGGGCCTCCCTGCTTCCCCCCAGACAGGGGACCAGAGACAGGGGCCCAAGAAGCCACACAGCCCTCCACGAGCTGTCCCCCCTCAGCTGCGCCTGACCCAGGAGGAGTCCCCAGCCCAGGGCCTGCCTGCTGCCCCCCGAGGCCCACAGCCACCGCCACGCAGGCTGCCCACCCTGCACCACCGCCCTTGCTACCTCCAGCCGCTGTCGCTGGCAATGCCTGAAGCTTTGCCACCGAGTGTCTGAGGACAGCGACCTAAGGCGATGCGCAGGTTAATGGGGACAAGCAGCATCAAGGAACGTGGGGGAGACCTGAGAAGGGCGAATCCACTGCCAGAGCCCCAGACCCCCACGGGGACAGCTCCTGCAGAGCCCACACCAGGCAGGCCACCCTAATGGGAGACGTGCGCCGCCAGCCCTTACCCCCACAGATAGCTCCGTTTTGGGGACTCCAAATTCCCCACTCCCCCAGCACCCTCGCTCCGAGAGCCTGCCTGGCTGGCCACCTCCTCCCGTGTCCCTGACTCCTCCTCAGACAGAGCCCCTCCGTCACACCTTCTCTCCCTCTGTGCGGGGGAGCCGGCCCAGCCAGGCCAGCGGCAGTCCCTCATTGACACGGCCCCGCCCCCGAGCACAGGGGTCTCCGGCGCCCAGTGTGGCCGCGGGCCAAACCCACTGCGCAAAGAAGGGGCTGAGGCCCACGTGGGGACGGCCAGACGGCTTGGTCCCTGTGCTGCCACCCCATCCCGTGCCCAGCCTGGCCCTGCAGCCAGGCGGCTGGCGACTCACCGTCCTCGCGGGACTTCTGGATGAAGGCCTCCACGCCGCTCTCGCCGTAGCTGCCCTCCGAGGCCAGCGTGGACACGTAGTTCCACTTGAGGGCACGGACGATGTCCACCATGGCCTGGGCCTGGTACGTGTCCGAGGGCACCACGCGGGAGAAGAAGTCGTAGCGGCTGTTGTCGCTCAGGTCGGGGGCTGTGGAGGCGTAGCTGATCTGGGGGATCTGGGGGCGAGAGGGGCTGTGAGCGCAGCTGCCACCCTGCCCGCCAGCACCACAGCCCACACCCAGCCCCCGTCCACACAGCCCCCCGCCCCTCCGCGTGGGCGCTGCCTCTTCTCGCCCTGCAGCAGACCCCGTGGCGTGCACAGGACAGGTCCTAGCCGCACTCAACAGACGAGGAAACTGAGGCCCACAGCGGGTGGGCGAGTGGTTGGCCAGCCCTGCTTCTGGCTCCAGCCAGTGTCCCCGTGCCACCGGCCTCCCACTCAGCTCTCCCCGTCTTGGCCATCCCCGCAGGGTGAGGCTGGCATCAGGTGGAGAAGGGACTGGCGTGGAAGCATCAAGCCTCCTCCTCCAGGAAGTCTCCCAGCTTGTCCTGCACCCGGTGGTCTCCAAGGACACCCCAATCCCCCACAAACATGTAAACACATGTACACACACATATACACGTACACACATACACACATGAATACACACACACACACCAGGAGCCTCTGGGTGCCTCGGTTTACATAAAGAGCTACAAGATCCCAGTCCAAAGAAAATCCCCAGGCAGATGAGATGGTTCAGCCTGGGGTTAGGGGTGGGACTCAGGTGTCAAGAAGGGCCCTGAGGGGTCATTTGGTCCTTCCCCCCCTGCCCCCTGCAGCTCTTCCTGCCACCACCCCTCAGACCCTGTCCCCACAGCTCCCTACTGTCTCAGGCTTCAGGCTCCTTCCTCCTGCTCAACTCGAAGGAGACAGAGCCGGGTTCCAGCTCCCCGCCCCCACGCTACCCTGAGGATGGACGCCCAGGAGGCAAGGAGCAGGGGTCCAGCAAGTCCCTTCTCTCCATGGCCGGGGACACTGGCTCCAGAGAGGGACAGGCTGCCGGCCCCACGGGCTCTCAGCAGCAGAGCTGACCCAGCCCCCTGCCCACCCAGCTTGCCAAGTGTAGAGCGCCTTGCCACGCCCCGCCAGGCAGAGGTGAGGCTCGGGCGGGGCCTTTGAGGTCGCCCAGCTCCTGTAGCTACACCAGCCATCCCCAGGAAGGAGGGCGGTGTGGCCCCTCCTCCCGTCCCTCCCCATCTCCAGGGCGCCACCCGCTTCCCAGGTTGGCCAGCAGCCTGTGCACTCTCACCCTTCCTGTGGACCCCTGCCCTGCCCAGGGGCCCGGGGTGCATATTGATCTGGCTAATCTAAGAGTTTGTCCCTCTAAGGAATCATTAAGATACAGTCCTGGCCAGGACGCCAGGCCCTGTGACAACTGACGGCAGAGAATGCCCGGGACAGGAAGGTTGGGGTGCCCCTGGTAAGGAACGCACGGTTCCGTGCGGCTCTGGGGGTCTCCGAGCTGTGCGGGGTAAGAACAGCCACAAGGAAGCGGGTGTGGACGGAGGGGCCTGTGGGGGGGGGCGCTCACACTGTGGGGTGAACTGCGGGCTTGTCTGGGGTGGGAACCAGGCGGCTGGGCGCGGGCAGGGGGAGCAGCGGCTCTGCCCTCCATGTGCCAGCCGTCCGGGAAGCAAACCACACTCGAATGCACACGAGTGTGTCCCCTCCTGCTCTGCCTGCAGCGTCCAAAAACAAGCCGGTCCACACTTAGCATGAAAATAGCCCCCTCCGAAATGTGCACCGATGGGGCATTTCAGGATTCATTTTAAAATCGTTGTTACTCTTGAGGTCTGAGAATGGTGTTAGCTGCGGTGGGTTGGTTTGCTTTTTTTGTTTGTTTTTTTATTTTTTTATTTTTTTTTATTTTTTTATTTATTTTTTTTTTTTTGCCTGCGAGCTGTAGTTTGAGGTTGGTTTGCTTTTGAGGGACCTTATGTTTCAGAGCAGGTCTCTCAGCCCGGCACTATAAAACTTTGGGGACAGGTGAATTCCGCGACTCGGGGGCTGCCCCCTGCGTCGGAAGACCTTTACGGCGTCGCTGGCCTTTACCTCTGAATGCCAGCCGCACGCTCCCTGCCCCGTCTCCAGATACTGCCAAGTGTCCCCGGGGTGGGAGGCAAAACTGTCCCCAGGTGAGACATGCGGGGGAAACTGAGGCACGAAGACATACGATAGCTTCTGGGACCTGCTTCAAAGGTTCGGGGCGGGACGGGAAACGTGAGGAAGAGGAGGAAACATAATTGGCCAGCAGGCGACAAGTGTTGAGTGGAGGGGGCTTGTTGCCCTATTTGTTATATTTTTGTATATGTCTGAAACGCTCATTTTTTAAAAAAGATTTTTTAAATAAAACAAAACAAAATAAATGCCAGCCCCTGGGTTGACCCTCTGGAGAGAAGCGGCCTGGACTTGGAGCTGGCCCAGGCGCAGGTGGAGGGGCTGCCAGGACAGGGCACGCGGGGGCACGGCCTGCGCACCCGGTCCATGATTTGGTGCCCGCCTCTCTGCCCAGCCTCCGCCAGGAGAGACTGTCACACACCCGCCTCCACTCTCCTCCTCCCGCCTGCCTCCACTCTCCTCCTCCCACCAGCTTCTGATGCTTCCTGCCAGCCAGGCCCTGGGGTCGTGGCACAGGGGAGGAGGCCCTCGGGTTTCTGGGCTTGACACAGGCCTCAGGGCTGGCAGTAGATGGGGATGGAGCCCCCAGAATAAGCTAGCTCCTTCTCACTCACCCCTCACCCCTCCTCCCTCCTCCCAGGCCACCTCCCACCTCCCTTCCCTCCAGTGCTCAGTGCGGCTGGTGGGCAGCAGACGGACACTCGGGTGTCCAGGCATCCCCAGCGAGCAGCTTTCAGGCCCAGGCCGGCGGGGCAGTGCCCCAAAGGATGCAAGCACAGGCCTTGCAGGGTATGTGTGCCTGCCTGTGGGGGAGTGGGGGAGTGGGGGGGACCGGGCCGGGCTTTCAGAAGCCCCTGCCCTGCCCACGACAATCCCTGAGATGCTGAGGTGGGGGTGGAGGATGACAGACCCCTGACAGGGGCCAGGGCTTGAGCCAACCTCCTCCTAAGGCCCTGCCTCCCAGCCCCCACCCACCCTCCCCGCCTCCCTCCTCAGCCCCAGGCCCTCCCGCACTTCCCAGGGAGATTTCAAGCAGAGACTGGGGAGCTAAACCACTTTAGCTCGAATCCCAGCTCTGCCACCCACCAGCTGGGATAACTTGAGAAAGTTACTTCACCTCCCCAGGCCTCAGTTTCTCCAGCTACAAAACGGGAGTAATTACAATAACTGTGTCTTAAGGGTGTGGGGGTCGCACGAGGGAATTCATGCCAGGCCCTCAGAGTGGCGCCCAGCAGGGCGCTGTCCACCCGAAAGGCGAAAGGCGAGCCCTGCCGCTGAAGGCAGCTCTCCTCTCCCGCTCTGCCGCCCACTGCCCTCCCGAGCTCTCCCCAGAGTCACAGCCTCGTCATTGTCATGGGGACGCATGGGAATGCTAACAGGCTCTCCAGGGCTCTCCTGCCCCGTCCCAGAAGGAGGGGCCAGGGACCCCATGGGGACGCCACTGCAGGGCAGGAGGCCATGTCTGCATCTTAGCAGTGACCGTGACAACCTGGCCCGAGGGGCTCTGACATCTCTTCGCTGTCACTGTCCCCACAGCCGCCTGGAGCCGGAGGGTGCTCGCTCCATTTACACTCGAGGGAGGCAGCAGTCTCTCCTCCCCTCCCTCCCCTGCCCCACACCCCAGCGCCTCCTGTGTGCTGAGCACTGTGCTGGGGACACCACGCCTTGTGTCACATCCCTGTGGGGCAAGAGCCAGCAAGAAGCCAGGTTCCAGCAGACCCAGCCCAACCACAGGCGCCCTGCTCTAGGCCTCTGCCTGTCTTCTGCCCCCAGAGCCCACGACCTCATTGCTTCACACCACAACCCCTCTATTCATCAGGGCCCAGCTCAAATGTCGCCTCCTCCAGGCAGCCCTCCCTGAGCCCGCATCCTCCAGTCTGCTCAGCCTCCCCCGGCACGGAGCGGGGCTGCTCCAGGGGCTCCGGCACACCTCCCGGCGCTTCCGCTCTCTGTCTGCTTGCCCATTCGACGCCCTCCCACGCCCCTCGCCCTGCGTGCTGGGCAGGTGTGGAGGGGAACTGGACTCGGCCGCCCAAACACCAGTCAAGACCCGCCGCCCGCCGCGGCGCCTGCAGAGAAGGCAGGAATCCTGCGAAAGTGCTGGGCTGGCTGGGCGCCCTGAGGAGGGCGGTGGCACACGGCAGCTGGCGCCAGGAGGCCTCAGCTTGCATCGGCAGTGAGGGACCGGGGGAGGGCGTGAACAGCCCGCCCGGCTTCTGGGGCGACAAAAGGCCCGTGCCACGCGGGGCAAGACGAAGCGCTTCAGCGGGAGCAACAGCCAAGATGGATTCCAGCACATCGCGTGTGAGCGCCCGGCCGAGCGCAGGGCGCGGCGTTCATTCAGCGACTCCCGCACAGGGCGCCAAGCACCGCAGCCTGCCAGGTGCAGCCCCCGCGTGGGGACAGAGCACGGACGCTGCCCTCCAGGGGCTCCGGCGTGGACGGGCAGGAGCCGTGACGCTGCGGAGCCTGTTAGAGGGGACGAGGAGCGGGGGAAGACGGGCAGAAGCAGGGCGGCTGCAGAGGAGCTGCGGAGACCTCTGTTCCCGGGGACATTTGTGGCAAGGCCCAGGAGGGAGGGGGGTTGAAGGAAGGGGGTTGAAGAAAAAACCAAGGCAAAAGCCAAAAAAGGGGGGGGGGGGGCAACCGGGGGGCCGCAAAAAACGGCAACTAAAACCCGGAAAACCCCCCGGGCCGCCCCAGGCCTGGCCAGCAGCCCCACACGCCGGGCACAGGCACAGCAGCCCTGGGTGACACGCAGGCGGTCGGTCCCAGACTGCCCACAGCTCTGGGTCACCAGCTCCCAGGCCAGAGAATCTGACGACACACCCCCAGCGCAGTGGTGGTCCTGCGCCACCCAGAGGAGGGATGGGTGGGGGTGGGACACCTGCCCTCTGGGACCTGGCCCAGGGCACGGTCCTCAGGGTCTCTGAAGTGTTTGGGACTGTTCAGAGCTGCCGGATGTGAAATCCCCACCCTGACCCCACGAGCCCTGGCATGCCCCAAGCCAAGTGA